GCTGAGGTAGTCAACTGTAATGGTAACTTCTGTGCCACAGATAGCTCTGCAATAGCAATTAAACTCCTTTAATTCATTCCTGGGAGAACATACAAAGCTGTCAGATTGTAAACGTGTTAGAATATAAACAGTATACTTCAATTTTGAACCCGGGACACCCTGATCCAGGTTATCACCTCTGCTTTTTGACACAGCTCAAGATGAAGTCTTGAGAATAGTTATGGAACATGGAGTGGAGAAGAAACTGGCGAAGAAATGCAATTCTTAAAGGCTGTAACTTGGTCACTTTTTGTCCTAGGCTAAAGAATAGTATTACAAATTTACCACCAGAATTCTGCTGGCTGAGATTCTACCTGTGGCAAACCAAAGGAAAGCCTGAAAAGGAGGTGGTCTTCTAGACCAAAATGCTGCTAATCTGAAACACCTTTTGCTATAACTTAAGCAAGGGAAAGAAACTACTATGCCTTTCTAAGTTTTGCTCTGATAAGTCTAGTTAAGATAATATTAAGATCAGTAAATGTTCTAAATCCTTATTCACATTTCATTATTTGCATTTAAAATGAAAACTCTTGGGCAGGTATAATACTCAGATCATTACCATCTCACTATAAATATTCAATACATCCTCATACCAAGTAGTACACACATAAATGCACACAGTAGGTAGCAGATAGTTTCTTCCCTTCTAGTTCCAAAGGAAATAAGGCAGACTTTGTTACGTATAGAATTCCAGGTCTGGCTGAAGGAAAGCATGGGAGAACAAGCACTGAAGATAAGCACCTGTCAGCAGCTTCTTTGTGTTTATAGGGATACAAAGACATTGTAGATTGCAGCTGCAGAAGGGCATCTCTTGGGAAGCTCAGTCCTAAATAATTTTATTCAATTTCCTACTCCCTAAATGTATTCTGTTGCTCTTATGCAAAAGATAAACCCATCATTTTCTGTCAGTACTTTTCCTCCTTATTCTGTTTATTACATATGGACACCTCCTTCTCAAATGTAATTTTGCTTTTACAGAACATTAAATCATTTTTACATGGAAGATGCTTACAGTCCAGTGAACAGGGCACACAAAAATACCTCACAGAAACGGAAAGTGGAAAGATATTATAGCACGAATAGTAATCTCCCTTCATCAGTGCTATTAAATTCTCATGCTTAGAAAAAAAGCAACAAGTCAATCAAACTGCTTTCCCAGTCACTGTTAAGGCACAGAAATGCTAAGACCTCATGCCTCTTTCTAGCACTTTGCTTAGGACCAGTATTCCTGAGCGCTGCATGATAATAGTAATTCTCACAGAATTGCTGTTTCTTCCCTCAAAAGACTCTGAGTCTACATCAGTCTCCATTTGTGCATGCCAGCCCCCATACTGTAACCACAAATTTAACACCACACCCAGAAATTGCCAGCTATTAGATACTCACTCTTCTCGGGTTTTCTGGGAGGTTTTATTATGCTGTTAGAGGCTGAGACAACCTCCTTTCTTAATGCCTGTCTTCTCCTGCCACAGATGTCAGGAAAAAAATGAAAAGAAGTGGCAGCTGAATCTCCTTCAGGTAACCTAAGAGCTCTGGTGATTACCCAAGTGGGAACAAGTTGTCTACCTTAAAATACACAAGCCCTTTTCTATCCACCTGAAAGCAACAAGAAACTGAAAACATCACACCTGCATGGAATCCCTCCAAGGCCCCAAATTTGGCCTGATATAAGTGCATGCTGCTTTGTTGCAGTGGTTAATGCTACTGCACCTACTTCCACTGATCAACAGCTGCAGCTTGTAAATGTGGTCCTCACTTTGCTCCTCTTTTTTCCCCCCATATATCCCCTGCTAAAGCTGACATGCAATCAGTAGAAGCGAAAGAGGAGATGGAGATGTACCCAATGTTTTCAGAACACAAGAGCTGTTTTAATTACACTTTAAAGACCACTCTAACTGAGCCTGCTAGAGCTAGCCTGAGTTACTGGTGAGTATCAGCTGCTGAACTAAAGACATTGTGAGACCAAAGAGACAAAATTATTTACTGACTCTGAGATTCTCCTAATTGAACAACACAGACCACAGGTCAGATGTGCAGTTCAAACAAGTGAAAAAACAAAGGAGGAACACACAGAAAACAGTAGTATGTGAATTAGCCCAGATGGTGCATATATGTGGAATGTACATACACTGAAACAAATCATATCTGCTTCTGATATGGCACAAACCAGAGTCAACTGTCCATTGATTTAACTACACAGATCATACACCTTAACATTTGCTGCAGTTTTAAACATGCTGCTTGCATTGATCAAACATATGAAACACATTAAGTTTACTGTTGAAATACAGAAAAGCTTCCCAGTTACATTTTCCAGTGTATCTTTCTAATCTATTTTAAATTATTTGAGTTACTTGACTTTCACAACCTCCTCAGAAAGGCTGCCCTAGAGCCCAATACAAAGATGTTACAGTAAATATACTGAGGTTTTTAATTCAAATTTTTAGGTTCAATTCCTTTCAATTCTCCTGTTTAAATCCACACTTTGTGTTTCTTCAAGCTCTGTCCTCTAGTAATCTTATAGCAACCCCTTAATAATTCAGTTGCATTGTTAAAATTATTATAACACAAACCTATAACCAAAGCATTTTAAGTAATGCAAAACTGTGTTATACAAACCTCTAGAAGTATTTATCAGTGTGCTACATAGATATATGCAACTAGCTGAAATGAAAATGTCTGGAAAAAGAATTCCAGATCATCAAAAACCAACCCAGAGCTGAATCTACTAAGTTCAGAAATACAGCTTTACATTTTATCTGGGGGACAGCAATGGTGCACACATACAAGACTCGAATGCAGAGCACA